TGATTGATGATAAACATGATTTGAATTTAAAATACAAATAAAATTTAAACTCCAAATAAAAGGCCAACAACTACCTAGTTAATTCTATTCTAATTTGTTCTTTCAATATTTAGCAGAGTTTGCAAATGCAAGAGATCACATTAGAAACTAAAATCTATTACAACTTTTTTTTAAATATTTTTGATAATAAATTATATAATAATTAATGTTTATTAACTAAGAGATATTGATCTTATTAAGTTTTTTAATCTTTTTCTTTTCTCAAATTCAGAAACTATGTACTTTTTTTTTTTTTTTTTGGAAAAATGAGAGGGAAACAAAGAGAATTATGAAGCAAGAGAGGGTAGAGATTTTAATTTATGATGAATGTCAGTGGAACAGTATGAGGGAGGTGGGAGGGTGGTATAATTTATTGAGGCCTGCGAGTTCTATGTGCACCTGTTCTTTTCACTCTGATGATAATGTCAGTCACAAGAAGAAGAGGGAAGAAAAAGAAGAGGAATTTAAAAGGGGTAATGGAGAAGCAACATAAGAGTGTGGGATGGTGGTGGGTGGGTCTATATGTATTTGCTGCAAAGTTCCAAATTAAACTCAGACTACACAACCCACCCTTATTCATTGTGGCCACACTTTTGGAGCCATCTAGAGGGCCTATCTCTAGGGAAATTTATATTATTATTATTATGATTATTATTATTATTATTATTAAAGTAGGATATATGATATAGCACCCTCTTAAATTTTTTTTGAAAATTTTGTTAAAAACTCACATTTTAATTAATATTTTTTAAAAATCTATTGTTAAATTAAAAACTCTATTCATGTGAATCATATGTGTCAATTTTCATATTAATTTAACCTTTATAACTCTTTAATAAAAAAAATTCTATTTATTGATATATATTTAACGGTATTAAATTTTTTATAATCAACAAAGTAATTAAGTCTATTAAAACAATTTGAAAATTGAAATGCTTGATCTATATAAATAGAATTTTCAATCTAATAGTTAGTTTTTAAAAATATTATTTAAAAAATAAAATTTTTGACATATCTTCTAAAAAAATTGAAGAAAATAACTTGCAAAATACTTTATTATTATTATTATTATTTGAATACTAATTAAAACTTACTATAAAAAATAGTTTTTCTTTTTTTGCAGACCCCTTTGATAGGGTTAAGTATTTTCAGGTGCAGATCAAGCAACTATAAATCCTTTGAAGTGCAATTCACCCTTCATACAATGGATGAAAAGAAACTTTGGTTAAAAATACAAAACCCTAGAATAGAAATCAGAGAGCAGTGGTCCCCTAAACAATCCAAACAGAACTCAGGCGTCACAGAATATATTGAATAGTTCACATATTTCCTAATTTCCATATATACACAAAAATTATAGGGTACCAATGCAATGCAATGCAATGCAGAGCAGGACACCCTCCTTCTTCTGCCTAATCTGACATCCTAGCCGTATATAATTAAGGGTCACATTTTGGGACCAATTTTTACTTTGATGAATAATGATATTTACTATACTAGAAAAATGGTTTGGTAATATAGGGGCCATAGTTACCGTGAGCTACTCTTTGCTGTCACTTAATAAAGAATGCGCCAAATTTTTTGACATTTTTTCTCCTTTCTCTAACAATTACTATTATTATTTGAAATAATGTTAACATTATTAGAGGAAGGTTTATTAGTCAAATTTCTAATTGTAAAAGATAAGTGAGGGTTTGAATCTGTATAATTTCCTTTTCACCTTTTTTTTTCTCGAGCATTGAATCATTTATTCTATTCTATCAAAAAAATATTAATGTTATTATGAAAACCTAAAAAGTTAGTTAAAAAAAATTTTAATATTACATCATTATATTAACTTATTTTGAAAAATCAAAATATTATTGTTATTGCTTTAAAAAATAAATTATTTTAGATTTTTAATAAAAATTTATTTAAAAAATTGAATTTAAAATATTTTTTCATTTAATTTTTTAAAAATCTGATTCACATATACTAATCTCATATTATTAGTATTGTGTTTTTCTTTTCCTCTATTTTTCTTCTTAAAAATGAAACCAAATTCTAACCTTTTGAAAAAGGAATTTGAAAAAAAGAGTTTCAGTATGAAATGAGATTTTCAAGCTACCTCGATAAAGATGTAATTACATGGTTGGATTGACTAAAAGACATGTTAAGTTTCTGTAAAATCTTAAAAACAGTTGTGATTAACTCAATCTTAGGTGTCAAATTGAAAATGAAGTAAACGGGAAATAAACGAAAACAACATTTATAAATTATATGGTCAAACATTGCCCCATCTTCACGAATAAGTTCTCTTTTCCCCACAAAAAGTTGAACGAAAACTCAACCAAATTAGTTGGAAAAAAGAGTCATTTCTTCGTTTCCAAAGCTTCCCCAACCCCATTAATAAAAATAATTTTTTTAATATTAATTCATTGAAAAATATTCTGATAATTTCACTACCTAAACTACACGACTGAAAAATCGAGGACTTGTAATTTTATTTATCGACAGCAGATAATTATGGAGAAAGCAAAGCAATTTTTTTTTTTTTTTTGGGGTGATGACACATAATGAATTAGCATTGCGTTTAGCTACCATGAATATGATGCAAAGCCAACCAGATGAGCCTGTCATTTATAAATGATGCATCTATGTGAAGAGGATGAGGCATGACTGGTACATGTTCAATTTAATTAGGAGTGTGTCCATGCTTGGAAGCAAAATATTTATGCACTAATGATGTTTATGCATCATATATAGTTTTCATAGATTTTTGTTGTTCAATCCCACTCAAATTAAAAATTTCCTTGCACCCACAGTTTTGGTTGTATTTATCCGAATGTACCATACTTTTGATAATTGTCAAAGTTCTTACCGTTGCAATAGTAGTCTCACTATTCTAATTTCTCTAATTTTACCATTGTCAAAAAATAAATAAATAAATAAATAAAAATTCCCTTGTCATGAGAGGGACCAGGATGGGGTTTTTGGTAACAAGGTATAGGAGTTGGAATTTCTTTGGAATGATCTCCATGTAAATTGGCTCCATATAAAATTGAAATTAACATTGACTTGGATGCAAACAAGAGGGAAGCTTCTCTCCTCTTTCAAAGGTGCCCCAATCCTAAGGAATATATTTGCTTCAACTATATGTAGCTTTCAGTTTCTCCACTTGCTCATATATTTACAGGCTGCTTGTTTAATTGGCCCAACTTTTGAAAATAATATTCTCTATTATAAAAGTTGAAACTGAACTAGATGCAATTTCTTGAAAAATGTTAGATTTTTTTACTAAGATTTTGATAAATTTCAAAATTTTTAAAAAATTTTATAAAAAATTTATGATTATTTTATACAAATTCATGGTTTAAAATTTCTGTAAAAGATCTAATCAATAGTTTTTTCTTTCAAAAGCTACAATAAGGCCAAACAAAACAGTAATATAATTATGAAAGGTGCCACCTAGCATTGGTGAATTCCTTTCAATTGTATCAATAATTACCCAAAGCATATGCCCTAAAAAGTTAAAGTCTATAAAACATTGGCATTTTAGATTCTTGATGCAGACTTTTGCCATGAGAAATGTTGTTCCAAAATTTCTCCGTTCTCCTTCCTTTTTTCTTTTTCTCTTTTATTAAATGAATTTGGCCATGGAAAAGTGAAGTAACCTACTTAGAAAGAAAGGTTGTTTGGCCCACTGGTAAACATACATTGGGCTAAACTGATACGAACAAGGCAAAATACCATTGGCATTTTTCACTCACCCATAGCTTTCTCTTGAGGCCAAATTATCCCATTCTTCCAGTGTTTTAAAACCCGGCCCGGCCCGGCCGGTTGAACCGGTTGAACCGGACCCGGTGGCCAAACCGGGCCAGCCACCGGGCCGGGTTCAAAAACATTGCATTCTTCACAGGGAAAGGAGGGAAAGGAGGGAAAGGGGATGGGGAGTGGGGTAGGCTGTGGGGGGTCCAACTCCTTTCCCCATCTAAATCCAAATGTATTATCTTTAAAATAAGAGACACTTGAAATCGAAGCACATCATGTGCTCCACATGTGAGTTTGGGCACACATGAATTCCCAAATCCATATGGTACAAAATCTAGTACATTTGATTTTGGATTTTTTTTAAATATTTTTTTTACCTCCTCTTGATTGTTATTAATATGGGTTTCTCCCCTAGTTGTGTAAAGATTATTAGAAGACCCAGTCTCATAATTAAAAAAAAAAAAAAATTAAAGGATGAGGTAATGGGAAATTTTTACCAATATTAATGTCTTTGTGTTTCAAATGGCGGGTTTGGAATTTAGGGTAGAAGAAAATGGAAAAGTCAATCAATTATATTGCTGGGTTTTAGTTGGATTAACTCTCTTTCTGAATAGACATGCACCCAACTCTACAAACACATGTTATTTTCACCCAAAAAACAGGAATCCCTTTGGTCCACTCTATTGCTCTTTTTGGCATCTTTTGGGGTTTAATAATACAAACATAAAGAAAAGAAATCAAGAAAAGTAATTGAAATATATAAACCCATAACTAATTTCTTTTTATTTTTTGAAAGATTTGATAAAAAAAAAAAACTTTTTTTTTCTAATATTCTTGGTAAATTATTTGTGGGTCGTTTTCTTGTGTTTGGTTGCACGCATCATGAAGAAATGGTAAAATTCATTAAAAAAAAAAAAAAAAAAGAAGAAGAAGAAAAGAAAGAAAGAAAGAGAAACCCAAAAGGAATTTTGTTTATCCTAGCATAGAAATATGAAGCAAAATAGCCAATAAAGCTGACAAGATCTTAATTTCGGCCACTCAATTAACATTCTATAATCACATTTGTTGTGCGTCGACAAAGCATTAATCAAATAATCATGATTTTCTTATTATACACATAGGGATAGGCCAATTCAAGTAAAATATGACTTTAGTTTAGGTCTCGACTGCTACATTCATGACAATATGTAGAGACCAGCTAAAACCTTATACATCTTTTTACATAAGCTTTAATCGCTACAGTTGAAACCATATAGAAAAAATAGCATCAATCACAGTCCAAACAGTACCCCAATTATAGAGAATGCCATGATTCTTGACTGCACATCCCACACATGGGTAGACTTTTTCAAAAGAGGAATATTATTGCAAATGCAACCAAAACACAATCAAAGAAAAATGATGCCTCCTTCCCCAATCTAAGCTTTCTTCATAAGTCATCATCTTCTTTTTTTAATATAAATGGGCTGCCAATATCACCATTGCCACATAGTTTGTATTCTAACTAATCATATCAGGTTTTCTTCAATCCTTATCTCCAAGATAACATTTCTTAACATAAGAAGGGTCCAGATGGAAAGCATCTGTGAATGGGGAGGGAAAACTGAATTATGTTTTCCTTGTGTTCTAATTAAGAATGATTTGTTTGACAAGGATAAACTCTCAAGTTGGATTTTGATAATCCAGGCTGCTAGATTTTGAACTCTCTCTCACAAATGATCACAACAAAAGTTGGGTTGTGCTTTAATCATCCAAAGAAAATTCTCCACTTAATAGCAACAGCATTGTCAAGATCCTAATCGGCAATTTCTACTCAATTTTCTTATTTTTATTTATGAAAAAATTGAGGGGAAACCCTGTTTAGGTGGGCTAATAATTTAGTCTTTTGTGAAATAGAATCATGATTAATATCAAGTGGTTGAGAACAGTGGGAATGATAATGGGGGTAGGGGGGGGTGGGATTTGATAAAAATACAAAAAGGGTGTTTGATGAAAAGGAAATGGGAAGGCGAAGAGAGACATGGAAATTGAAAGCACTGACAGCCTTGTTTCAAGGAGGGAAAATGGCCTGAAACAGGGACTGATATCCACCATGAAAGGTGTAGGAGAAGTTTGTAGGGGGAGAATAAAGCAAAGGAAAAAAAAGGCACTACCCATTAATTTCTGCCATAATGGGCGTGTCTTTTGAACCTATTTAGGATTCCTTCTGTGGAGACTCTAGCAAATCCATCTAACTAATCTGACTTTGATTCAAAGATAAATAATGAACAAGGTACAAGGATATGTTTGGTTGGCCAGCAATTACCTGCTTTTCTCATTTCAGAATTATATCTTTAGCCATTTTGGATGACCCCTCTGCTTTCCTTTTCTACTTTTTCAAATGTTCCTGTACCGTAGTTATCTGCTCAGAAAGTGAAAATTCAAGCAATCAATTAAATTTCAATAATTAAAAAAAAAAAAAAGGGCAAGAAGAAAAACCATAAGAGGCCAAAATATGTTGGGTATCCAAACAAACCGTTAATCATGCCCATAGAAAAACCTTTCAGAATCAGAAAGACTAGGGTATTGTAACCACATACCTCAGGACTTGCCTTTCTTGAGAGGGTAGAGGAAAGAGCACAAGCTGTTGCTGTTGGCCCACTTCCTTCATCCAATCTACAAGTCTAGAAAGGCTGCTCTTAAGTTTTTCTTCTTCTCCCCTTCCAGAACTAAGCACAGATTTTGCCCACATAGCCCAATATGCAGCTAATCCAACCCAGAGGCCAGAAGGCCCACAAGCCGGCTATTTGGGAAGTGAACACCACAGTTTGGCAAAATATGATAATGAACCCCAACGACGGGAAAAAACCAATGAACAAATGTATTTCACAAAAGCTATCAAAGCAAAAGGAGACCTGTCATTCCAGCATAACTATGTAACATGACATTTAATGACATGATCCAAAAGAGGGAAAAAAAATCTATTCAATATTCAATTTGAGAATACAAGGCATTGTCATTGTTAATACTAACTTATGCACAAACAATGGGGATAGAAGTAGAAAATTACACAAGTCAATTCCCAGCAGAAGACAAAAGGCTAAACTGACTCTTTAATCGCATCACAAGAATCATAACTAAAGGCTACTTTATCCAACGAATGCTTAAAGTTGTAGAAGTTCCATCTGCCCCAGGGAAGAGAAATGTAAATCCACATTGTTAAGAGTTTCTTGATCGATTTCAATTGCAGTAGACAATCTTGGCAAAGAATAATCCGCTACTTTTCCAGGTGTTAAATCATTCTTGGCAATCTGCTCCTTTGATGTGTCAAGATCTTTGGTTTCGGTTGGTCTAGACACTGTACAGTGATCATAAAGGTGTGCTTTAATCTCCAAGCAGGATTTTAGATCATCTTCATTTCGGGCTTTGTTCAGCTTGTCAATTAAGTCCTCTAAGGCAGCAGCTCTATCATCCCATAGAGTTTTGGCCTTCTTTGGCCTACCATCAAGTTCGTTCTGTTCGATTGTGTCATTAATACATTGCTGAAGGTCCTTCAATCCCTGGTCAACAATCTGTTGTATCCTCTTTCTAAAGTTTTCTTTTCTCACGGGATCAGTTCTTAGCTTTGACTTTAGTCCTGAAATCATTACCCCTGTCTCACCTTCCTGAGAAGTAAGGTTAGGTTTTGATAAAGTGGACCCATCCTCATCAGTTCCTTCCATGATAGGTTTTGTAGAAAATACCTCCTCAAGTAAACTAACATTCTGCATATACTGATCAAAAGACTCATTTTCCACTTCAATATTTCTGTCCTTAAATTCCTTCAACTTGGAAAACCTCCACTCATTTATTGCCAAAGCATCCTGAAATACCCAACAAAGTTAGGAGAGCTCACACTTAACCATCAATGTTACAAGCATGAAATTATGGCTATACTGTAAACCTATAGCAAACCTTTCTGCTGAGGTGTTTTTTTGACCGGAATGGCATTTGCAGATTGTTGAATTGTGCAAATGCATTGGAAAGTTGCCGAAGTGAGGGAACTCTTATCCCAGTTCTGAAACAAAGGCCAGCATGGCAAGAAACAGCCACATGTCAATATGAAATCATAAGCCAAAAACTACTTCCAAGCGCCAAAACATAAGACTAAATGAGTCACGGAAACTACTAATCAAAAAGTCAATGACACAATAAAAAATCAGAAGTTGGAAGAAAGACTCTGCAGATTTTAAGGAAGCAACTAAGGGAATGAAGACAGAGAGAAAAAAGAAAATGTATAAAGAATTTGAAGCAAAAGGAAGAGTCTAAATCAAACCCATTGAGCTTTAAAATCCTACGCTCAGTTTAAATCATCAATTAATAAGAGTGAATGACCATAATTTGGAAAACGTGACTAGCTGTAATACAGCCAGACAATATATTTTGACAAACATGACAGACTAATGTATGTCCAGCAAGCATGGAATCGAACATGAAGCTGACATAAATCTTCCACAAGGTTCAGGACCACATAAAAATAACCCACTATTGGTTTCCTGCATCTAACTGAGTAGCTAAAGCTTCCAAGTTACAACTTACCCAGCAGAAGAGGCTTCATTTGACTTCTGATCTGATGAAGGGGTGCCTGAAGTTGGTGTCTTCTCTGGAAAAGCTGCATTTCCTTTTAAAACTGCACTCGCAAAACAAAAGCAGAAAATGAATTCAATTAATGGATATTCCTGCCAAACAATGGATTTTTAATCACAACTAGTATGAAACAATTTTTCCAACTAGGCGAAGTAGCAAGTCCTTGAATGTGCATACTTTGTCCAATGTAGAAACTAATTCAAGTCAAGCAAGCATTAAAAGCTTGTGTTGCAGATCTACCTAAGAACCTCTCTCATAGTTAACAGCAACCAGATGAGGCAGATAGACAAGACCCCAGATCTCTAAGAACAGGACTCATCCTTAGATTTCCATGAATTGTCTAGGGAGACATCCATACCAAACTACATAACATACCACAGTTTGTTTAAAATGATAAATATGCAAAAGAACCACAATCAGATTATAATAACTACAGTGTGCACTTTTTCTTTTCCCTTTTTTTTTTAAACTGTGTCAAGTTTGCTTGTAATGTTTCCATACCGTGAATATGGCATGGGTTTTGAGCTTTTGAACAACAACTCTTGCATGATCGATATGGGCACCTGCATGGGTAAGGGTGCTCAAGTCATAAAAAGATGAGAGGAGAACAGGCAGTTATCCTAACACCTCATAAAAGGATGCATCGGTAAGGGTACTCTTGCAATTTTCTCAAAACCTCATAACAAAGAGCTAAACACAGTTATCCTAGAAAGAGATTAAAATGCCTATAACAAAAACAATAATAATGATAACAATAATCTAACAATGATACCATTTAATAACAATTCAAACAAGCACAAAATAGCATCTGATTAGGCACCAAATTACGTTTATAAAACCAGTGAATGTATACATTCTAGAAAACAACAAAAAAAAAAAAACTTTAGTAATCTCACAAGACTAAACATCTTGCTCGTTTCCAGTAGTTACAATTTCAAACAAAATGCTACACTGATTTGCAAATTGCAAACCCCAAAACTCAAGTTAAAGTATCTTAGCAATGAAACGCAAGCTAACTCATTGAAAAAAAAAAAAAAAAAGGACTAATATCATCATCTAAATTCAGCTGTATCTTCCTCGTAAAACGTTTTCTGCAATCATTACCAGAACCAAACATCTCTGGAAAGCGAATGTCAAATGAGATCTCACTAAATTCAAAAGTACAAACGCAATAGATAGATACGTGGACTGCAATTACCTGGAACGAGCTACGTTGCCGCACTGGATGCACTTGGGCTTGTTGAGTCCGCGCTGCGTTTTGGGAAACGGCGATGCAGCAGCAGCAGCAACCATTATGTTAGCAGCAGTAGTAGCAGTAGCAACGGCCGCGGTGGCTGTTTCGGCACTGTTGTTGCTCGGCGCTGGCGATGAGGCGGCCATTTATGCACCGTCACCTCCTCCGATCGCCTCTATCTCCGCGGCAATGAGTGAGTTTTCTAAATTTTCAGGAAAATCCAAAAAAAAAAAAAAAATTTGCCGGACGGAGGAAGTAAACGACGGAGAAAAAGTAGGGCTTCTGTAATTCTATTTCTGATATTGAACTGGGCCTATTTTTTTGGGGGGGAATTTTATCATGGGCTTAATTGACAAGGCCCAACCCGTACTGCTTCAGAAGTCCAAGCCCGATATTTTCCCTCGTTCTGAATTTCCATACGACGTAGTTTTGTGTTGTTTGGGTTTCAGATTTTATTTTATTTTTTTTTACTGTAACTGTACTTTGAAGTTTGAAGTGCCGTAGTGTTCCTGTCGGCTGTCGGCGAAAGATATTTTTAGATTCCTTTTTTTTGGTAGAAGAAGATATTTTTAGATCTGGAGTGTCGCGTCACTTGTCGCTTTACTTGTCGCGTTACTTGCGTACAGTTCATTTCAGCATAATACTTTCTTTGAAAATAATTTATCATAAATATTAAATTTTAAGGAAAAAGTATTTATTTATCAAAATTT